AATGCAAATCATGAGTTGAGTCACAAATAGAGTATTAGTTTCTATATTAAACATCGAAAGGGAAACTCATTGTAATCAATGTGTGAGGCATTGGTTTCGTGTGATTAGTGTTAATAATATTGAAATCGTATTGAAAGCCACACTCCGTCTCACACTCTCTGTATATCTCATGCTTTCCAACAGCTATTCAACGCTGATATACATCGCGAGTGAAGTGGCGTCGGGTATGAAATACTTGGAGACCTTGGGATACGTCCACAAAGACATCGCCGCCAGAAATATATTGGTTTACACAAACAATTTGCTGATCAAAATCGGTGACTCCGGTGCCCACGCCTTAGCCAACAAAAGCGATTACACGAAAGGCATTGNCACGCCTTAGCCAACAAAAGCGATTACACGAAAGGCATTGCCATTCGGTGGGCCAGTCCTGAGGCCCTAATACACGGCATATTCACCAATAAGTCCGATGTCTACTCGTTTGGGATCACCTTTTGGGAGATATTGACGTATTGTTCGCTCAAACCCTACCACCATATGGACGACCAGTCTTTCCTCAAACAATTTGTCTCTATTCACGAACAGACGGCTGATATTGTGAGCACTTTATGGTTTAGACCACTCTTTCCCTCCACTCCTATCTCTCATCCATTTCTCATCATATTTCTGAAACACATGTTTTGATCTGATATTCATTTTCTCTTTAATCCACAAATTCATTGTCAGGACTGCACTAATAAAGCCATTTACTACCAGCCCTTTACCACCGATGTCATCGATGGACAGAGACTCATGGCTTTGCCCCGACCTGAAGGCTGTCCGAAGGAGATATACGATCTGATGTTAGACTGTTGGCAGACAAATGTTGTCTCCCGACCCACTTTTAGAGAGATTTCACTGTTTCTTAACCGCAAGATAATTGGTTTCAAAAAGCCAGCACATTTTGTATGAATTTTTTCACCAATTTATATATTGTATGATATATTGTGTTAAATAATGTAATGTCTGATGCCTTAAATTCAATCAATTATTTCGACATCAACTCAAACACACGATTTTAGTTGCATTTTATGCAACAAATTAAATATTTTTTTGTAAATAAAATATGATCATGTGTATTTCTAATGATTCTTATGACACAAAATAAAGTTTAATTATTAAACAATTTATGTATATGGTTTATTTGATTTTATTGATATTAAAATTCTTATATGAAATTTAAAGAATATTCTGGCTATTTGTTGAGCCTAATTATAGGTAAGTGATTAATTAAGTACCGTAAAATTCAATCTCACAAATCAGTACCCTCCCCCTTCTTATATATCACATTATATGTGATACATATACATTACATATAATGTGATATATAAGAAGGGGGAGGGTATTGACTTGTGATATATACCATATTAAAGAATATAACATTAATTGTTATATTTTAAAATGTTTAACCAGTATACTTTTTAAATTTTATTTTAAATTTATACTGAATTATAGTTATTTAACATATAGATAATATATTAAACACAATTTTATATTATATTGCAATTAATTTTATTAATTTTAATACAATTAATATTTAAAATAATATTTCAAATCATATACATCTCATATACATTTCAAATCAATTTAAATATCATAATTAACAAGTGTCAACATATTATAAAACGCTAATTATAACAAACTGATGGCACCGTTAGGTATATATATGAATCAAATTATTTTTAAACAGAATATACAAATGAGATAATATGTAAATTCATGAATGAGATTTAAATATATATTAATTATATAGAAATAAATAATTATTTTATTAACTAGTTTACATTTGTTTTTGAAATAAATTGGAAAATATTATTTCAATTCACGCAGGAATTGACAGACAAATAGTTTTTTGCACTCAATTCGTATGAGATCTGCAAATAAT